TCATTTCCGAAATTACCACCTGCCATCTGGTTCACGTATTTACGATGTACCATTGTTGACGTTAAAAAGTACAGAATGGCAAAATAAGAATTAACTCAAATGAACTGAACTGAGAAAATTTATTTAACATAATGAAAGTACAACGAACACGTAAACAAAGTTTCAAATTAATCAATGTTACACTTTTGCAAATAAAAAATCCTAGAGTATGCCTCCTTAATTAAATTCTTTTTAATTATTAAAAAATAAAATTATTTTTTCCCAGTATTTATTATTATCACGAATATCTTGATATCAATGTTTATTTCAAAATAAGAAGAATATTGTTGAGGTTTTATTATTGTTTAAAATTTATTGTTTATTTATGAAAAGTGCAATGGTCAAAATTGTACCTTGAGGCGAAATGGATTAATGAAGCTGGGAGACATGTAAATACTCTGTGCTGTTGTGCTTTCACATAATTGCTATAATTATGTTCTGTTGGCAATTAACATTCCATGTTAATTAATTATTGTCTTTCATGTCTGTTGCACAGACTGCAACTGGCTGTGCTTTTGTTTAGTTTATTATGTGTTCCTGCTTTGAAGCTGGTTTACTGTGATAATAATAACTCAGAAGATTATATTAAATAACAATTAACTTTAATGTATAATTAATCAGTGCAGTCTGAATTCAACGATTTCTGAGTTGTTAGTATTGTAATAAAAACAATTTCAAGACAGAGAAATATAATAAATTCAATGAAATTAATTGTAATTAATTAGCAAGGAATGTTAATTGCCAAGAGAAAATAATCAGAATATATTAATCAGCAATTAACTTCAATGTATAATTATTCAGTTTGAATTCAATGATTTCTGAATTGTCAGTATTATAATAAAAATAATTTCAAGACGGAGAAATATAATAAATTCGATAAAATTAATTATAATTAATTAGCAGGGAATGTTAATTGTCAGCAGAAGATAATCAGAAGAATGTTATATTAAATAGCATCTTTTTCAAATTAGGATTTTATATAAATAAAAATTCTTAGTTAATTTAACTACTAATTTAATCAATATACTCAATTATAAATTAATTATTAATTATTGTTTAAAAAAAAATACATTACTATATTTAAATAATGATAACAATAACCAAACTAATTAAAAATTCTAAATTTCACTCAAACTAATAAATTAGAAAAAATCGTAAAAAATTTGAGGTTATATTTAAAAATGTCCGCCATCAGACCTAACCTCAAGAAAGGTTAAAGACAGCTCAACAAAGCTGAATTGCACGGTAATCCAAAATTCTTCAGTTCCAATGGGAAGCAACATTGGATATAATCACAATTATGAAAGATCTTCTCATTCAAAGAATCTTTTTTTCTACAATTCAATAAGATGTAATTAATTTGAACGAGTTCTTTGACGTGTCCGTCGGTAACATTAAGGTTATCCGAGGGCCGAGATCGAATATATAAGGGAATGTAAATGATAGAAGCTGCGAGTTCATTATAACGCCGTAGTGAGCCAGCAAAATTGTTCGCGGAACTTCCGTGAATGGCAGTTAATTATAATTAATTCCATATTGTCTGGTCGACTCGGCTCGCGCTGATTCTTCACCACGGCGAAGATCATTCCAAACCGTGCTCCGTGAAGTTTTCGTTATTACCGGAATTAATATGAATAAGAAATTAGTGTGTACATTATACCGGTGTGATAAGTTTTCACCGGGGGTTCATTAATTTTTCGGCTGGGCATTGTTTCACGGTAACGAAACTCTATTGTGATAGAGAAACATCGTGGTTCCCGTGTAAGTAGGGGTTCCGGATGTTCAACTCTTTGTGTGTGAAAATTGATTTTTTCTTAATTATAATTGATATGTATTTTATATGTATTAATTTTCTAATGTAGAGTTTTAATTGTAATGTAATAAGTATGATTATAATTTTAATATATTGTAATTTTTATTTTCATTTTTATTTAATTATAATTTAATTATAATTCAATCCTAAAACAAGATAATAATAATAATTTAATAATAATAATAATGATGATGTTGATGATGATTATGATGATGATGAAATCATAATAATAATAATAATAATAATAATAATCATGATGATGATGATGATGATGATGATGATGATGATGATGATGATGATGATGATGATGATGATAATAATAATAATTTCATAATAATAATAATAATAATTTCATAATAACAATAATAATAATTTCATCTTACAAGCAAATTGATGTCCCTCTCAATTTCTCTGTTCAACGATTCGTTTCAGCTGTTCAAAAGTATCCTGCACCTTAGAACAACAGCGTCCATAAGCTCCTCAATCTCGAACCCACGGAATTATATCACAAGGAAATTAGTTTCGCTTTTTACGGAGCCATAAAGTCGCCGGACTGTTCCTACCAAAGGCGTAGATGGAACAGTTCCGTCGCTTCTTGTATCGAATTTAATAAAGTCTCAAACACCTGTAGCTGAATTATCGCTCCAGTTTGTCTAGGCGCGCGAAAACCGCGACCAATGCAAGAACAGGAAATAATTCGAGAGCCGAACCGACGTGTTTTTCAGTATCAGCTCGAAACTCTGGCGAAAACATGGGGACAACTAGCGCTAATGCAACTTCGGTCGTTGGAAAGCTTAACATGTAGATTTAAGTGTTGAAGACTTACACTGTTGAAGAAACATGGGGGACAGGAAAGATGAATGAGGAGTGGTAGAGGAATCATAGGGACTTTTATTTTATATGGAAATGGTATGTGGTGTTCGTATGGGAACAGTTTATTTTTAATTTAACTTAACTATAATTTTTAGTAGATTGCAATATTTATAATTTTTATTTCTATTTGAATTTAACTATAATGTTTAGTATATTACAGTATATTATAATTTTAATCTTTATTTGAATTTAATTATAATTTTTAGTATATTACAGTATATTATAATTGTAATTTTTATGTTACTTCAATTATAATTTTTAATATATCATAATATACAGTATTATAATTTTTATTTTAACTTAATTATAATTTTTAATATATTATGATATACTATAATTTTATAGTATATAAATTTTGGAAATTGGAAAACTTGAATTTATAGAATTTTTGTGTGATAAGGGACAGTGAGGATTAAATTTAAAATATTTATGGAATGCGTATGTGTATAAATAAAATAAAATTGTTTTTAAGGATGTATTTATAGACGTTTTTCGCAAAGTTCTCATCTAGAATTTTAAATTACAGGCATCGTGAGGAGAGATCGATAAATGGAGGTAATTCGAGCGACACGATGTGGATCACGGGTATTGCTTGAACCTCCAGGAACAGTGACAATGGGTGGAAATACCGAAGGGTGATAAGGAGCACGAAGGGTAATGAAAATGGAGGACGATCGTTAGTAAGATAGATAACTATGTTATTCACAAGAGACAATGGGAATCGTTAGCGGTAAGAAAGAGGAAAGTGTTAGCGGACGGTACAACGTCTATAAGAAAATTTTATCATACCATAACGTAAACGGTGAGTTAGTTAACTACGTATCATAGCGAAATGGATAAGTTAGATCACTAAATACCATAATGCAGTTGATAAATTCGATCCCTAGGTTCTACCAACAGTCGATAAGTTAGGCACCTAAAGACGATCTTTTTAATGATAAATTCAATCTGTAAACACCATGGTGAAACGGAGGAAACTGGATCCACAATAAATGCGATGTAATTAATAAATCAGGTTCTAAAAAATTGTACCTCCGTCGATAAGTCAGATCCTTAAGAATTAATGTTTTATTGATAAATTCAATCCGTAAGTACCATGGTGAAACAGAGAAAATTACGTCCCCAATAAGTAAGATGTAATTGTGGAATTAGGCTCTAAAAAATTATACCACCATCGATAAGTCAGAACCCTAAATATTAATTTTTTTTTGATAAATTCAATCTGTAAGCACCACAGTGAATCAGAGGAAATTAGATGCCCAATAAGTGCGGTGTAGTTGATAAATTAGACTCTAAAAAACTGTGCAATAATCAATAAGTCAGATCCCTTAATACTAATTTTTCTTTGATAAATTCAATACGTAAGTACCATCATGAAACATACGAAATTGCACCCCATGTAAGAGCTAAGTTATTGTCAAATTAGGTTTCAAAAAATTGTGCCACCATCGATAAGTCAGATCTCTAAATACTAATTTTTTACCGATAAATACAATCCGCATGTAGCACAGTGAAACAGAGAAAATTACATCCCCAATAAGTAAGTTTTATTTGTTAAATTAGGCTCTAAAAAATTGTACCACCATCGGTATGTCAGATCTCTTAATTTTAATTTTTCGTTGATAAATGCAATCTGTATGTTGCATAGTGAAACAGAGAAAATTAGATGGCCAATAAGTGCGTTGCAATTGTTCAATTAAACCCTAAAAAATTGTACTGCCATCGATAAGTCAGATCCACTAGTACTAATTTTTCTCTGTTAAAATTCAATCCGTAAGTAGCACAGTGAAACAGTGTAAATTAGATCCCTATGAACAGCAGAATAATTACCAAATTAGTCTTTTAAAAATTGTACCGCCGTCGATAAATTAGCTCCCTTTGTACGATTGCTTAGTTGATAATATCATTGGTGTTGGTTAGAGCGTTTCCTACCTTATCGACAGGAATGTTCTCCCCAGTTATATAGTTTTACGTCCCGACGTCTGGCGAAGGAAAAAATCTATTTTACTATTCGTGCCAGGAAAAGGATATAATTGTATCTATAATAGTATAAATAATTATGCTTATAAAGTAATTTATAAAATAAATATAAATATAAAAATATTTGTAATTATGAAGCACCAGAAGCCATACATGAATAATGTTATTTTTATATTATATTCAGTAAACATTCTTTTTTCATTGTTTATATATTCCGTAAAAATATATTAAACTTGCCTAATAGGAATAAATCAATGAGAAACTTGATTTCCAATTAAAAATTTTTAAGTCATCGTAAACTCCAAGAAGTACAGGGTTCCAAGGATCCGTCGAAGTCTAAACAAAAATTCCTATGACATTTTTAGGTCTATGGTTTTGTAAGCGTGTTCCGCGAAGGATGTACTTGTCGGTATTATAGATCTTTGACAGCATGGGACCAATGGGATATCTAATATATCGTACTGCTACACCGATAACTCATCTGTATCCGTACATGGATTCATGGATCAAGGGGACATATATGGGAGTCTAGTAGTATTCCCCTAAAAGCGGCAAACTTGGCGTCACCTGTACCAATTGTAAAAACCAGTGTTTGATTATTTTATTGCAAACATGATGTCTGACAAGTGAAAGCCAGATTCCTTTAAATTTGTGTATTTACACAGCACATTTGTAACGAGTCACGCTTTTTAATTGCAGCTACCATGGTGCGTGAATATGTTTTTATTTACTTGGACTTTAACGCTCGATGATTCTTTGAATATTGTTTAAGGAGTTCCAGCAATGATATTAAACGAGTGACTAAATTTTGTAGGACGATCATGCAGCTGCACTGCAGAATTTGGAGCACCTCATGACTGAATTTTTCTCGCCGGAGACAACCAATGAACGAAAACGTACAATTGAAAGGAATTTCCAAGAATTCAAAGATCAGATTGACTCTTGGCGACCTTGTTTACATTTTTTATCCTCCACTAGTAATCATTATGTCAGTATGTTCGCCCTGTCTACCCTGGAGGTATGTAATTTTACACTTATCCACTTTGGACGCTCGATTTATTATCTTTACTAGAGATATCGTTGCAGACAACGATCGGGAGGCGATGGCCGATTCTTCCATGGGAAGACAGAGCTCTTACGAGATCTACTTTGTACACCCTGTCAATAGAAAGAGGTATAGCCCCTTTTGTAAGGAATAAAGTAGTTAAGCTAGTTGTAGATATCGCGAGACACGACTGGCCGCATTTTTATCCAGATTTTTACTCGAATATCTTACAGGTTTGTGAATACATTGACTGTTAACGAATTATAGTGTTATTAGGTTCAATGGGAAAGAACTTTTATCTTGAAATATAATCTGTTTTATGTATTAAAAGTTAGTAAGGTACAAACGTACAAGACTGTTGGGACTTGTCTACTTGAGAACAGTGTCGGAGGAACTAGCGACTCCAAGAGAAGACTTGCCCATGCAAAGAAAAAACGAATTAATTAGGTTTCTTTGCGCCGAAGTGCCTTTGACTTTGAATACCCTGACTTCAGTACTTTTAAAAGAAACAACAAAGTTACAAAGTCGCTCTGGAACAGTTACACCACCTCCCTCGCCTACCAGTGGTCAGACGGTAGCACCAGTAAGAGCTATTTTGGACGTGGAAAGACTGTCCACGGGAACCAGTGATGTCTGCATAGTTATATTAGACGTATTAGCGCATATGTTCAGTTGGATCGAATTGTCAGAACATATCTCAACAGACTTATTGAACGCCATTTTTACCTGTGCCAGGTATCACGAAGCAATGGTAGGACTTCAATGTAATACAAATATTTTATAACACTGTATGGAGTGTACAGCTAATTATAAATTTCATCAACAGAATGGTAAACAGATAGAATTAGCTGTACAGGCTGTGACCGCGATAAATGAACTTTTGTATCGACCACTGTATTCTCCAAACGTAACTGACAGATTGTTAGTAGAAATATTCCAAAATGGAGTCGGTTTATTTCAGTATATGGAACGTTTAGATTCTACAGATGAAAGGTATTTTCTTATATGCTTAAGGGGAGGACACCATCTAGAACATCATAAACATAAACACAAAGTTTAGGAACTTTTTTGTTAATTGAGAAAGAAAAAAATTTATTTTTTCATCCGTTTAGATGGTGTCTCTTCTTCGATACTCTTATATTTGATAACATTGTATAATTTTAATATTTGTAGTTACATGGAGAAACTTACAGAGTTCTTACAACTATTTGTAACGAATCATCTGAAAAGGGTGGAATCGTGTCCCAAATTTCCAGTGAATACATTGTTAGACGTTTTATGTCATCACACATTCCAACAGTGTTCAACGGTAAATGGATATTTAAGATGTTTAGATGTTTGGACCACTCTTTTAGAAAGTACTCAATCTCGATACTCGCCAGTAGCATTAGCTCTTGCTGAGCGAGTTTTACAAAAGATGAGTTTTAAACTTAACACACGTGCGTTGAAAGATCTTGACACTGAAGGTTTAGATGAAAATGTACGTAATACTTCAAAATCAATTAATGATGTCTGGCTTTTACAATATATTTATGTAAGATTGTTATTTCAGGAGGAAACCGAGTGGCAACATTTTTTAAGATGCAATGTAGAGTGTTTAGCGAAAGTCGCAGAGATCTGTCCAATTCCAGTATTCACGCTATTGGTAAAATTGTCTATAATTGTACATGAAATTCATTTAATTTATGATCACTAATCGATAGAAGTTTTTTAGTACCGTTCATGGAGAGAAGGACTAATAATATTTGGAGAATTAGGTGCTGCCATAGCTAACAATCAAGTCATATTGTTAAATGATTCAGAGGCTGCTAACGTACATGCTCATCTACGTGACTTAGCTTCCACTACTCAAGCAATTGCCAGATTATATTCACTTTTTCTTGGTGAGTTAAGTTATCAGTATAAATACCATTAAAATGCACAGAAATGTGATGTCTTTCTTCTATTAATAGGAGATGAACATAGTATCGATCAATCATTAGCTGAAGAAGTAGTATCCCAAACGTTGGACGCATGCAAATTTGCCAAAGCCAACCAGTTATACAAAGCATCATTGCAACCAGCTATAATTGTAATAGATCTCATAGAAGTGTAAGTAATATTTAACAATTAATGATCGTGATTAAATATAAAAACAGAAGTAGGAATGAACTAAAATTTTAAAATGAGATCCTATTAAGATGGATATTGTAAATCAAAAGTTTTCAGGCTAGACCTTTTTTTGTTCTTTTTATAGCCATTCTCAGTTACTGGCATCTCTTCAAGCTTGGTGCCATTGGATAGTGAACAGGCCAGAAAAGACTAAGGAGTCGCTTTGTCAACGTTGCATTGATTCCTGCATTTTAGCATTAGATTATACAACTTTCTGTGACAATCCCCCACCGGCGAGTCTTACTCATTCTGCCACACATCTTTTCCAAAGTATCACTGCTATTTTGAAGCCAGTTTTGTGGGACGAACCTACATTTAGAAACTTAATTACCATGGTGACGTATCCATTCTTGAAACCTGATACGATAAAAGTGTTACGAAGAGCATTGGTGAATGCAATTGTTTTACCACACGGTGATGGAAGTATCAGAGAAAGACTATTAAGTAAGTAATAATGACAGGAAATATAATCAGTAATTATCAAAACCAATCACATTTTAATCGATCTTAGGCACTATGGTGTCAACATTATCCACGCCTTTGGGCTCAGAAGGGCAACCGGTACCTTCAGAATCTGCAATTGCAATAACGGTAGTGCCATTAACTCAGTTAATAGAAGACTGTTCTTCGTCGTCCACGACGATTAAAAAAATGTTACATTCTTGTTTGGGATCAACGATCAACCGAACACTAGAACTGTTGCCATACATGATAAGGTGTCAAAGTATATGCGAGATTTTACTTAGTTTCATACATTCAGTATTTTCAGTATTACAGCAACAATTGGGTCCTGAGTTTACTCAAAACGCAGTTCAGGGGATGCTACATATTTATACTAGGTAATAATAACATAAAAATTATCTGTTTAATTGATCATTTGATAACCTATTTAAGAAACTAGCGTCATGTGTCACCAGTAACATGACAGCTAACGTGTTAAATTAAAACACAGTGTATCTCTTCCCTCGTTTATATAACAAGAGAAATATAAATTTCACAACATATTTACAGGGAAAATATATCTGCGGGACCTGCATTGGACCAATTATTAGAGATTTTAATATTGGTCGTATCAGCACCTAGCAGTGCATTTAAAGCATTTGTTCCTTCGGTGACTAGTTTGTGTTTGGGTCAAGTGTGGCCAGCAGTTGGAACTGATCTCAGCGCGCATCCAGATACCACACTTGTTCTATTAAAATTGTTCCATAGGTATTACGTAATGTTATATGTCATATTGTACGTAACAATAGAATCTCAATTAAGATATAAATATATTAACTGTATATTTTCAGCATTTTAATGCATCGATGGCAATATTTCTATAATACTTCTGTATTACGAACTCTTGGGCACACCGATGAAGAAGAATCCGTTGAGCACAAGGAAGAGTTAGTCGCCATTTTGGAAGCTTTCGGTCAAGCCCTTCTGCAACCGGATGTCAACATATTCCGACAAAGTTTACAAAGCCTTGAGCAGTTGAACGTGCGATGGCGACTTTATCAGAGAGCTATATTCAAAGTTCACCTACTGGAAAGGTTCATAATGGCACTGTTCACGGTACTCTTCCAACAGTGAGTAGAAAAATTGACAGTTTCACCAATAACGCACTCCATTACAATTGTATTTATATTATTTATATCACAGATCCCACAATTTGTTGGCGGATGAAATTGCCACAGCTATTCATAGCTTAGCCTCTGTTAATATAGCATGGTTCTTCGGACAATTTCTGCCAACATTTTTGGCAGGTTGTGACAGAGTAGACGACATGCAGAAAGCCAGGTTATTAAGGAATTTTGATAAATCAACGGTGAGTTGAATAAATAGTTTGATTAGTTCGGTTTCTGTCTGGCATGCTTTGTTAACTTTGTTGAATGTTGATAGGATCAGCCAACATTGACAAGGTCAGTGCTCCAATTGATTTCTGATCTAAGGTGCTACCAGCTTTGTCGACCCGGTTGAAGCATTTACATTCCAACGAGACAATGGACATTGATATCAGTTAATGTGGTTTTAACCTATTGTACAGTTTAAATCTAACAGCATTTTCAATAAATAAGAATAAGATGTTAAGATTATTGTTTCGGAATAAATCGCGTTTTTATATTTCTGTTGCCATTCGTGTACTTCCTATACCAATATGTTAGGAAGAATTTCTTTGGAGTACCATTTCTATGTAGATATTAAGTATTGATTTACACGATTGTAAAAATAACATTGTAATTAAAATGTAATATACAAAACGAACAGTGGAATTAATTCTGATATCTTAAAATACTTGTTGATTTAACTTATCATACCCCTACCACCGTTCTTGATAAGCATAATCAACGTGATAACCCCAAGATTTTTGTATAATAACGGAAACACGAAGGAGTTGGTAACCAAGAATTGACAATGTTTCGTTTATCGTCCAGAAACACTAGTTTCAAGTTGCAAATGGCAAGGTACTTGGTGACTGATCCGAATTATGGATTTTTGAAACAGTTGGGTCTCACGACAGAGAATCCTGGCCTTTATGATGGACGATGGGGTGGATCTGGCAAGGTACATTAATTACTTATTGTAACGCATACTAATTAGGCTTGCGAAAGCATTAATACACAACTGTTACGAAGGTAGTGGAATCCATTTCACCATCAACTGGCAAAGTAATAGCAAAAGTTAGGACATCAACCCCGCAGGAAGCAAGTAATGCTATTACAGAAGCACGTAAGGCATGGCCACAGTGGGCATCGTTACCAGCTCCAACACGAGGAGAGATAGTGAGACAAATTGGGGACGAACTAAGAAATAACTTGAAACCTCTGGGACGCTTAGTGTCTCTAGAAATGGGTAAACATCAAATGAATGTTACATTTGTTTTTATTCATTCTATTCAACTCTGATTGTACGAATTTCTTTTAGGAAAGATATTGCCAGAAGGTATCGGTGAAGTTCAAGAGTTTATTGACATATGTGATTATGCTGTCGGTTTATCTAGAACATTACCTGGCAGTATATTTCCATCGGAAAGAAAAAATCATGCACTTATGGAGAAATGGAACCCTCTTGGAGTTGTAGGAGTTATTTCTGCATTCAATTTCCCCGTTGCAGTGAGTATGGTTTAATTAAGAATGGTAATCAATAGAATTTAATAAGAAAGGAACATTATTTTAGGTATACGGCTGGAATAGTGCAATAGCAATGGTTTGTGGGAATACTGTAGTCTGGAAGGGAGCTTTGACTACTCCTTTAGTATCTATTGCGACTACTAAAATCATCACAGGTGTTTTAGAGAGAAATGGTATACCAGGATCTGTTGCATCATTGGTTACAGGTGGACCAGACATTGGTGAGACCGTAGTCGAGGATACACGGTAAGTATAATGTTATTTAATCATAAAATTTAATCATCCAGGGTACTGTTTACAACTTCTATGTCTAGCGTACCCTTAGTTTCATTCACTGGAAGTACTAATGTTGGAAAGAACGTGGCTTTGAAGGTTCAACAACGGTTTGGAAAGTTCTTGTTAGAACTAGGAGGCAACAATGCGTTAATAGGTATATTAAAAAATGATATTATTTAAATTTATAACAATTTGCTTACATTATTGTTGCTACTAGTTGCTCAAGATGCGGATTTAGAAATGGCAATCAGAGCAGCAGTGTTTTCCTGTGTGGGCACAGCTGGCCAAAGATGTACTACTACTAGAAGACTGATTCTTCACAATAAAATAAAAAATGAATTTTTGGGTAAGTGATGTAACCAAGCATTAGTGACAATTATTATGAAAATGTCATTTTAAAGAAATTCTAACTTTCAGGAAAATTAAAAAGAGCATACGAGAGCATTCTGGAGCGGATTGGCGACCCCTTGGAGAATAATACTTTATATGGGCCATTGCACAGTCAACATTCAGTTGAAGAATTCAAAGTTGTCACACGAACCATTAGAATTTCCAAATATTGAATGCTGAAAAATGTAAAAATGTACAATGTCGTTTTCTTTTAGAAAGCTGTTGACAGTGCTTTGAAGAGCGGTGGCAAAATAGAATTTGGTGGGAAGCAAATAGACAGACCTGGCTTTTATGTGGAACCAACAATTATTTCCGGTTTATCTCCTGATTCTGAAATAGTGCAGAAGGAAACATTCGCACCAATAGTCTATATTTTTGAAGCAAATTCTCTAGAAGACGCTATTGCTCTTAACAATGGCGTACAACAGGGACTAAGTAGTTCTATATTCACCAAAAGTATAGAAAACATGTTTAGGGTAAGCGTGTGATAGTACAATTCAATACTCCTTGTAAGTAATCCCATTAACGACACAAACTTTTTAAATGCAGTGGATTGGACCTCATGGATCTGATTGTGGAATAGTGAATGTTAATATTGGAACAAGCGGTGCAGAAATAGGTGGTGCATTCGGAGGAGAAAAAGCTACTGGAGGTGGTCGTGAGAGTGGGAGCGATGCATGGAAACATTACATGCGACGTTCAACCATTACAATTAATTATGGAAACGATTTACCATTGGCTCAGGGCATTAAATTTGAATAATGAAATTGAACGTACGAGTTGATATCTTGAAAATATTTCAACCATTTAATTCGAATCGTATAAAATCCACTTGAACATCTATAGTGGCTTTCTTATGAAATTTGTATGCTTTCGGTAGGTCGTATCTCAATTCTGCAATGACTTTCCCTTTTGCATCAAATTGTGCCGCTTTCTGAAGTACATAATTGCGCGTACTTGTCTTATGCAAAGAGTACACAGCATTGGATGCGAGTTTCGTAGCAATCTCTAGGAATTTCATATCTACACCTGCGTTACGTTTTGTTCCAAAAGGTGGATTCATAATAACCGTGTCAAAGTATTTTTCGAATTGTCCTACAATATAATCGTCCAGAAACATGTGCAATAATATAGTAATAAATTTAATGTTTTATATACACATACCTGGTAAATACTGAAGTATATTACATTGTACAATTTCCACGAATAATTCTGTATCGTTGCAATTTCTAGAAAAAATGTTAATTGCATCAGAATCTATTTCAAAACCAACAGTATGACTTGCTCCTAACATTTGTGCTCCAAGAGACAAAATACCACATCCACATCCTAAATCCGCTACTGTATGACCTTCTACATCATCGAATTGGGTCTGAGCAGTATACAGCATATGGGATGCGATATGTGCACTGGTACAGTACTGTTCAAGTAATACTTTTGGCTTTTCAAATCCATCCAGCTGTTGCAAATATTCTTCTAACTTACGGAGCTGTATGCTAGCCATTTTTTTAATTTAATTACTCTTGTTTATCTAGCGTTTTCTGATTTTGCGAAAGATATACATACAAAATTATATAGTCTTTCCACAAAGTCACTATTATTACATTTAATTGCAAATACAGTCTTCATAACCATTTACTATTTATAACTTTAATACATGTAAACGAACTGTTTCATTTAGCGTCAAATCTGGGCAGAACAGGTAAAATTAAATTGCCAAAAGAAGAGTCTTGTGTCACAAAATACCCTGACGAAGCTGCATGAGCGTTATGTAAGGCAGCTCTTTGCGACGCGCTCATTGCAATGCCATCAGAAGGTTGCGTTGAAGGCTACAGAAAGATATATAATTGAATATAAATTAATATGTCTTAACAGTTGAATATTCTGTCGCATACAAATTTGTTCAACTAATACTCCTGTACCTATTTATTCGAGTAACATACACAGCAATAGCATTGAAAAAATTGAATAAATAAGACTCCGACAGAAGTGGAAATAAAGGATACAAGAAAATCTATCGTACAATTAAAATTTAAAACTATTTGTGAAATAATCTGCAACTTTCTACAAATCAACAATTCCAAAAATATGTTTACCAAATTAGAAGGAGATCCCGCCGGTGTAACCGCTAGAGGAGTATTTAAAGTTGGAGCTACGCCTTGTTTCAAGAGCATCTGCTTTTTCAATTGTAACTCCTCTAAGATTTTTCTGTTTTGCAATTCTATAAACAAACCAAGTAAAGATTTCATTTTACCATAAAAATGTCAGAAAATCACAAATGATGATACCTCTTGAATTTGATTGCGAAAAAGCCATCAAAAATTTAGAATCCTGTTCTTCGAATTGGCAAACCCTTGTAACGTGTTCAATTTATGGGACCAAAAATGAGAAAAAATTGATGTCAATATCTTCTGATATTTCTTTACATTATTTTCAACAAACAATATGCTCGACACAAATGGATGTTCGCTTAAACAGAATATTTATAGATATCTCAGTAATGTTTACATCTCGCAGTAATTGTACGTTACCTTAACCTCATCAGAATTATCAACTAACAAAACTCCACTGAACAAACCATGTGACTTTGCGATATTAATGCCATATATATCTTTTCTTTTAGACAGAATTTTATGCACCTCTGTAGTGTCGGTAGCTCGGCAGAGTTTCAGTGTTTCCTTGTACAAAATTCTCTCTGAATTTATTAGCTGATGAACGTAAATACGCGTGTACTTAATAGGTTTTGATTTCTACCTTAGAAATGTGCCGCAGAAATGGTTCCCCTTCCAATGTGTATTCACTACATAAAAAATTAACATTAATCATTCATATTTTGTGAATGTAGGACAGTGTTAAGAATAAAAGAAAATTGTTTATCCTCTATAGAAAAACAATTAATTAATTAATTCTATAGAAACTAAAAGAAATTCTAATATTCATGAATGGTAATTTTTGGAACTTTACATCGTAAGAAATTGTGACAATCCTCTCAATGAAATAATTTATTCTGAGGTTAAATAATTCACCAGAAAATAAGTATCGACTTCGTCATTGTTTTAATCGATTTTCTAAAATAAGAAAGCACCGAGGGTTTGTAAATGACGTGTAAATATTTTTTGGTAGAAAATAATAATCTTACAAGGCCATTGGAATTGCACCATACAGTTTGCTGCGCCGGTAATTCTATTTTATCATGTGTACATGTATAACACATTATATCATTTATAACTGTAATATTATGATTATTGTAATGTTACAATGTATGTAATTATTATCAATAATATACGTTTCAAATATGTTATTGTGAAAAATAGTATAGTATTAACAAATAAAATTCGATGATTCCAATTATTGATATTAATTGCTACAAATGTTGCTTCCCATCATTAAACAGTTGTCACAAAAGTTTCATCTGCATTTATTTGCATAATACAGTTCACACTAAATATGATTTGTTCACATCACGATTTTTCGCATCAATGATTTTTCTTTTTCTGAGTGTTCGTTGCATTTGTTTATCTTCTTAAGTCAGTGATTATTTATTATTAGAGGGCTGTGTCAATATTGACATTTTACAATTTTCCTTGTCCTCATTTATGATCATTTCTGTAGTAATTTACACTTAATTATAAACAAACCATAAATAAAAATTAAATAAACATTCTGTATGTGATTGGCAAAATCTATGTCTAATTTACGTCTCTTGTTTATGAGAGCAATTTATTATCTGCAAATAATGAAAAATAGTTATAAAAATTGCAACAATGAATTATTGTCATTATCTTCAGATATTCATCATAGTGTTCAAGTAGAAATTATTTTCAAGTTCCTTTGGAATGTTCAATGTCTCCAAGACATCAGTAACTGAAACAAAAAAAGTTTAAAATTTTAAAATTTTTAAATTTAATACGAATATTAAAACAAATACAGGCTGTTAGAGTTCAAAGTGTACAACCCTAAATCTTAAGGACCTCCCTTCCAGTAGACGTGTACTATACTCTCGCGCTATATTTCCAAGCAAGTCACGTGATTTTGTTTGTTTTGCTTCGACCGCAAAGAAAAGTGGGGCCAATCGAGTGAACTGGATATAATCCTGCAATATTTCTCAAGTGTAATTAGTACAACAAGTTTGTCATTAATAATTCACTGATAAAAACGTGAAAAATTCTTGGCATATTCTATACACATATTTGTTACATATTATTTTTTTGGTATCAATTTATTATTTAACAAATATATGTATAGAATATAAATAGAATTTTTCAAGTTTTTCAATATTATTATTATTATTATTATTATTATTATTATTATTATTATTATTATTATTAAATCATTATTCAAGTATTATTGTTATTATTATTCTTTAATTATTATATTTCAGTAAATTGTTATTATTCTTCAACCGTTATTCTTCAGTAAGTTACTATTATTCTCCAATTATTATTTCCAGTAAATTATTATTCTTCAATTATTTTTTTCACTAAATTATTATTCTTCAATTATTATTCTTCGGTAAATTATTATTATTCTTCAATTATAATTCCCTAGTAAATTATTATTAACCATCAATTATTATTCTTCAATTATTATTCTCCAGTAAATAATTATTATTCTCCAGCAACTATTCTCCAGTAAATTCCTACTATCCTCCAATGATTATTTCCAACCATTCTTTCCCACTAAATCATTCTAGTACCAAAATTCCATCAAACCACCTAAATTCAAATAAATCGATACATAATTAATATTCATTCACAACTCCTCAAACAATCCCTCCTTCATCCGAAACACGATCACAATTTAAACGAAACCCATCAGCATCACCAAACCTCCCACAATCCCCAACGAAAAAAGTCCCTAGACCAGTGCAGCCTCTGAAACGCTCACCAAAGCCTCGGGCCCGTGACATCGATACTCGGCGCATGCGTTGGAAGCTTCGGTTCCCGCAGGCGCCACCTTGTGAGACAGTTCTGTCGTAGAAGTTATCTCGAGTAGTTCCTCGGTGGTTGTGTTCGTCCGGTTTTCCTGTGATTTATTCCGATCTCGAGGGATCCCTTTCGGTTACTACAACTCCGCCAAAAAGAAGTGAGTATCCGCCGGCGGGATCTGTCCGTCCTCGGTATCCGGGTCGCGGGGGATCGAGGGAGCTGGCCGGGCGAGCGGGTCTCCCGTGAAACTCCGCGGCGGCCAGACGTGACAGGTTCGAGCAAAATGGCCGTACGCGATTTACAACAAACGGTTGTTCCGCGTTGATCCACGGAATTCCGCAGCAGCGGCCCGCGAAGCGACGTGACATCACCTGGCATCGCGAAGTCAACGGCGAACCGACTCTCACGCCGATTGATCGCCCCCGACCGCCCGCCGAGCCCCGTCCCGTCGCGTACTCAACATACATGTTGCACGTCACTTCGAATTGATTTTTTCGTGAACGACCGCCTGCGTGGTGCGCTGCCACGGCCGCTCCGCCGCGACTGTCCCAACCGTCGCACTTAAACCTTTGCACCGAATTCTCGCCGTCCCGCGGCCCCGCGCGCTATCTAATCTGTCAGCGAGCCGGAATCCCGGTTTTTGACAGACGTCGAGTCAGTGATCAGCTGTCGGTTGTCATCGCCGATGACGTCCACCCGGAGTCGGGCTCGCTCGGGATCACCCTCGATTTTAAGGTTACCGATACTCCGCTGACATTGTTGCCAAACGCCTCGCTCTGACGCTGCCAATCGCTCGTGCCAGCTACCAGATTAGACGAAGCCACAGGTAGAGGCTGTCCGGAAGCGTTTTAATTCGATTCGATATAATTCTATTATTCTCTCGAATTGACAGTTTGACCTGTCAATACGTGTCGATACATGCATCGTGTCAGGAATGTGTTGGAAATAAAAGTTGAATTGTTGATGAAATTCAGGGGGGTCTAAAGAGGCCGCATGAATATTTGAACGCGGCGCAAGGTGAAATATACGTGGCAGAGGGTGGGCGAACAGCCGGTTTATCGATTGCGGCGCATCGCCGCGACGCTTGCCGACGGCACACTACACGGCGACGCGACGCGACGCGACGCGGCGCGCCGTCACGATTGTCAAGGTCCTGTCTCGGCCGATATTCCGCCGCGGATTTCCTCGCGGCCGGCGTCTCCTCCGGGCGGATCATCCTCTTCTCGGTTCCGCGGTGTGATCGATCGAACGTTACCGGGGAAAGATGGCGGCCGCTGGCCCGGCCCCTCTAATTGGTCGGTTTCAAGCCGAGCCTGCCAATCGGAATAGACTCTCCCGCCGGCCAATCCGGCTCTCATTTTAGTCGACCGCGTGTTTTGCCAAATGTTATGTCACCCCGCGGACACCGTGCACGGGCTGCTTTCTTTTATGGGGGCACGACGCCTCGCTGGGAGACCGTTTTATGGGGATACCAGGGAGATGAGGTTTATAGGTTAATCGACGGTTTCGAACGATACGAGCTTTTATGTAACCGACCGCAGTGCCGTTTCGCCAACTTTCGAACGATGGCTGTCCGTCGGATGGACCGTTTTCGGAGGTTTCGCGAGCGGATGATTCTCGGTTGTGAGAGTGGAAATTTGGATTGACTGGTGATTCTCGGTGACGCGGGACGGTTGACTGATGATGTTTGTGTAGAGAGTTTTGTGGACTGATTTTGGTGATTGTTTGTTTGTGTGATTAAAGTGTGTTAGATGTGGTGGATATTTATTGATTAGTACTAGGTTATGAATATTTGATATAATGAAATAATAATAATAATAATATATATATTTTTTAATTCATTATTGTCATTAACACTATTACCAACGGTGCCATGAAATTTTTGAAATTGTCAATTCATATCATTTTCAGTTCAATGATTTTTCCTCGATTCTGGCCATTTTATATAATTTTATTTATATTTATATATTATTATTTTATATAATTAGGAAGGAAAATATATATATGTTAAATGTTTACTGAATGATGAAATATATATTATATATATTAAATATTTATTGATTAGTACTAGGTTATAAATATTTATTTATTGACACTATTTCTATCAGGTGTCAACAGACCTTTCGAAATTGTCAATTCAAATGATTTTCAGTTCAATGATTTTTCCTCAATTCTGGCCATTTTATATAATTTCATCATTATTGTAAAGTCGAGAAGTCAATTCAGAACGACTGAAAGGAAAATAATTTCAAGTTAAAATTTCATGGCACCTTTGGTAATAATGTTAAATGATAATCAATTAAAAAATATATATCGATTAGTATTGTATAGCAAATATTTAAGTAATTAAAAACAGTTCGCCAACTGATACACAAGCGATTGCGTCGAGGAAAGTTTATACGTTTTTTATAAACAATGAGCTCACTCATAATTGTATCATTAAACCGTCCGATGACGTACAAACTACAAAACACAGTTGAACCGTGGCAGAGATATCTCTCGCGAACAAAATCGAAACGGCCCGTGACAGTTTTCTCGATTTTTATAGAAAACGAGCGACACCTGTTAGAAAGTAAAACGAATCTCGTTTAGGAGGTTGCGTTGTGTGCCGTTTAAAGACCTCGGGACAGACCGCTCTCACGCGCGTTGTTTCTTGTTTTAATTGCACGCACAAAGAAACCGTTTTCCCGGAAATATTCGAAACGGTTCGTTCCGCGGTTTTCCCATGGAAAAGGAATTTCCTGCGTTCCTCCCGTCACGTGACCGGCCAGTGCGATTGACATGTTCGCGACGGGATGTACCACCGGTGGTACATGCTTATCTGTTCCATGGCACTTGTGTACCACCGGTGGTACATGAACTATTTTCGCGTTACAGCATTTAAATAATTGATTACTCTAATTAGCAAATTTATTCACATCTTGATCATTTAAATAATTGATTACTATAATTAGCAAATTAATTCATATCATTATATACATAAGAGAACCATTCTCCGAGGTCTGAAGTGTAACACCAAGGAGAAAATAAATACATGCATAATTTCGAATTAGCCCCGCCAGATGGGAGAAAGTACGAAAAATAACAGCCCCACGGCGGGTACGCTAAATTCAAGCCCTCGTCGCCGCGAACGTGCTAATTGTCGCGAAATAATTATTGCGATCGTACAGTCGGAACGATAATTTTCATTGTGCCGCCAGTGAAACGTGTCGCTTTGTTTTTTCCAGGCGATGTCGATGACTGGGTACTAAATCAATTTCGAGCTGACTGGAGAAGAATCTAGTCGCGCTCATTCGACTTACTGTTGAGTATCAGCCAGCAAACACAAGCGAGGATCATGAAAATGGTGCTGTCTCAACGTCAGAGGGAGGAGTTGTGAGTTGAACACTTTTTTTTTTCATTTTCGTTTTTGATCGAGGACGTGACTTGATCAG